CAGTGTGTGGGTTTTTTTTCAAAGATCTAGAAGCTGGAGCTGGTGGGGGGGGGCAGGGTTGGGAGAGCAGGCAAGGGTTGGTGAATGCTCAGGGGTGCCAGAGGAGCAGGCAGGGGATGGGGCCTGGCAGGGGTCCCCCCCATGGTCCCCTCCTCTCTCACCCCCTACTTATCAGCACAGAGTCCATTTCTCTGCGGCAGCCAGTGGGGACTGCCCAAATCTGTGAAGATCTCAGAATCTTTTCCAAATCAATTTGGAGAACTTCAGATTGATTTGGACCTTTTTATTGGTCTCCTGATTTTATTCAGATTCGGAGATTTGGCCACCAAATCAGGCCAAATCTCCTCCGAATCAAATCAGCACCTGAAGCTTCGCACAACCATACTAGAGAGGTGGTAGAATCTCTATCCTTGGAGGTCTTTACGGCTGGACTTGACAAAACCCTGGCTGGGATGATCAGCAGCCAGTGACTGGGGGCTTTTTAGTTGGAGATGGTCCCCAAGCAGGGGGTTGGACTAGATGACCTCCTTAAATCGCATCCAACCCTAATTTTCTGATTCTATGACAACTACAAAGTTGCACTGACTGAGCATTTGCATTAGAAGCCATAGCCCTACGTGTGTCTACGTGTGGACATGTAGCAGACTTAGATGCCTGGAAAAGTAGCTGTCCAGAACCCATGACTGCTGAAGTTAGACTAAGGATGGGAAAGAGGCTGTTACCTCATTTCCACCATAGCTCAGCAGCTAGGGGCAATCGCTAGGGATGCTGGATGTCCTGATTTCCATCCTCCTTCCTCAACAAGGGTTTTGAAACCTTGTCCACTTCCTAGCATGGCACACCACAGGTCAGCTATTACTCATGCTCTTTTTGAAGCTGAGCCACTAGCATAGTCCTTGGATAAAATGGAGAGCAGTGCAAGCTTCTGTTTTGTTGGCTAGAATACACAATCTCCTACCTTCCAGGTGAGCATCACTTTATTGAACTGCACACTGTCTTACTTCCTTCCTCCTGATGCTACATATTTCCCCACAGGCCTCTTTATCATAGTTACTCAGGAGGCCAGCTTCAAAAGGAGTGTCAAAGAAGAGACTTGTTAGTAGCTGACTTGTGGTATGATAGCTTGAGTGCTGTGTTGGGAAATCAGGAAGAACGAGGTTTAAACCCCATTTGGTTGAAGGGAACTCTTGCTGTCCTGATTAGTCCTCTGGTATTCAGCTTTGTGGAGGAAAAAATGAGAACACTTTCTCACTTTGTTGTGTAGGTGTGCAGGGCTGCATATTCAGCAACAGAATACCCCTGGCTCTGTATGTGCTAAAAATGCCCTGTGAACATTCAGGACAGAATAGAATGCTGTGCTAAGTGCCCAAGTTTTGCTAAAGTCCCATTTAGACACCTACAAGAACAATTTAGATCTAGCTCTATAGGCTTAATGGAAGGTCAGTGTGTTCACTGGGTGCTTGTTAAATAAATGCTTACCTTGAATTTGTGAAAGTTTACAATAAAATACTTATTCAAGTCTAGTTAAAGGTAGTAGCTATTTCCCCCCTTCTGGGGGTATATTACTGTACTCACAGAATAAAATTCATCTACATGTAAGCTGTGAACCTAATCCTGTTGGGCTACTCTCCCATATAACAAATATTAGATAGTGGATATAATGAAAGGCTTTTTATGAGAAAGAAATGTGTTTAGTAGTTAATTTTTTACTTCAGGGAACAAAAGTTGGTGTTTGTTCTGTAGTAGCTCAGTCACTACTGTTGCATGATGTACACTCAGGGATTGTAAGTGTTGGTTAGAAGGGTCAATAAATATTGTGCAAGTTCCTCTTTCTAAGCATCAAATTTCAGTTGGGGAATTCCCAGAGCACACCATAAAAAGGCTCACCTAGTCCCTTTTCATCAGACCTGTTTGTGGAGAAGATGAACTGCATAGAAGTGGCTGTGTTGCTTGTCCTTGTACAAGCTGCAATTCTACACAATGCAGCCTTTGCCATGCTAGTAAATGCGGTAAGAGGTGTATATTATGATATTTCTGTCCCCAATGTATTCTTTATTACTCCTGCTATTTAGATTGTTATAGTATCTTTTAAAATTATCTTAGGGAAATTTTGAGATGTCTGCTTCATTTTTAGCTATTGATATATGGAGAAAGTATATCTCCGCTAACTAATGTGCAGGGATTTGATTATAAATTTGAAAACTAGCCACAGTTTTATAAACTCAAAGCCAAATTCTGTGCCTTGTTAGTCAAGTACAACACGACTAAGTATCTGAGTAGATTTTATATATACAAAGTAGCTTAGAATCATAGGAACATAGAAAGTAGGGCTGGAAGGGACTTCAAGAGGTCACCTGATCCAACTCTGCTTAAGGCAGGGTCATCCTTTCCAAACTATCTCAGACAAGCTTTTTACTAGTTAGTATGTGTGCCCAAGATTGGCTCATACCAAAATCATTTTTAATGAATAGTAAATTTGTTAATAAAAAGGAATTTCACCCATAAATAAGGAAAGGGATATTCTGAAAATGTCAAAAATATTTTAGTTTTGAATTTTCAAAATGAAACATTTTGGCTTCCTAATTCAAAATGTCATTTTGCATTAAAAATGATCTAAATTAAAAAGAAAAAAGAAAAATGAGGACATAACTGCCCAAAATAAAATGAAACATTTTGTTTTAGGTCCAGTGAAGTGTTTTGGGAGACCCCAAAATAAAATTTCTGATTTTTAGCCTGCTTAAAAATTGGAAAAATATCTGTTTTGATTTGGTTAGAACCATTTTTCCCTTCAGATTTTACCACCAAACTGAAAAATCTATTATTCTACTTTCTAGATATGACAGGCATTGGAAGAGCTTTGAACTCAAGTGGCGAATTCAGCCTTGAAAGAGAAATTAATGTTTTTTGTTGCTGGACTATTGAGCAGAGGCATTTTCTTGTAGGAACAATCAAGGCTAAAGTAAAAATATGATGATAAGCTGAGGCTGGGGAATTAAGTATGTCAGAAGTTTCTCATAATTGTGCTCATCCTTCAGTACACCATAATTTGGGGAGATATTTGTAAAATTGATGATACCTGTCATAAGGCTTGTACTGATTGCTATCAGTCCCCCATATGATTACATGGTCTGACAAATGAGTACATAAATTCATTTTTGGTCAAGTGGACAAACAAAACCAGAATATTTGCATCTGTTTTAAAAAAGGCTCTTTGCCAGCGATGTGCCTCAGCTTTTGGGAAGGGAATGATGATATAAATATGAATTGGACACAGAAGTGGCCACATTATAAGAGCTTTAACATTTTTTTCCCTAGACTTCGTATCAAACTACAGTGGCTCCAGACTTGACTCATCTTCAAGAAACAACTGGCCCCTACCCTCACAGTACACCAGTGGTAAAGCCATTGTTTATTATTCTTGCATAAGACAAAGTAGACATCAGAGCTAGGATGCAAAATTCAGAGATTCACAGATTCACAGAAGTTCAGGGCTGGAAGGGACCTTGTGAAATCATTGGGTCCAGCCCCCCTGCTCTGGGCAGAAAAGACTGCTGGAGCCAAATAACCCCAGCAAGGTGTGCATCCAGGTGTGCGAAATGAAAAGAGCTATGCTCTAGGTTTTTATGCACAGGATTGGAAAGTGGGTTATTTAGAGGTTTAATATCTGCTCTAATTCTAAGTCAGAAACAGAATTTTCCAACTGGTTATCTAAAACTGGCTTAAGCTTGGGTTGTTAAAACTGACTTGCTAAGTTCCTAGGGGTACACTCACAGAGGGGTTAACTTAATCCTAACTGCCACTTTATACACCTAAGTCCAAAATCTTTAGAATCATAGAATGATAGAAAGTTGGGTTTGGAAGGGACCTCAGGAGGTCATCTAGCCTAACCGCCTGCTCAAAGCAGGACCAGGCCCAACTAGATCATCCCAGCCAAAGGTTTGTCTAGCTGAGTTTTGAAAACCCTCAGGGATGGAGCTTCCACCACCTCTCTTGGTAACCTGTTTTAGTGTTTTATTACCCTTCTAGTGAGAACATTCTTTCTAATATCTAACCTAAACTTCCCTATCTACAACTTGAGACCATTGCTCCTTGTTCTGTCATCTGCCACCACTGATCCTATTCCATCATCTTATGAACCCTCATTCAGGTAGTTGAAGATTGCTATTCAGTCTCTTTTCAGTCTCCTCTTCTCTAGACTAAATAATAGGGGTGTGTGAAGTGGGCCCTGTTTGATTTGGATTCGGATTCCCCCAAATCCAGAACAGTGGTTTGATTAATTGATTCAGATCACTGTTCCTGATTTGATTTGGCAGAATCCACATCTGAAGATTCAGTGCTGATTTGGAGAATCAGTGACTTGGACACAGACACAGCTTTAAAAGTTTTTTCTACATATCTTGAGGTACCAGCATAGCTTGTGATCACTGCAAAGCTGGGGCGTATGGAACGTCCTGCAGGAGTGTGGGGGGGAGTGAGGGGGGGAGGCCTCCACATGCTCAGCAGTAAACCCAGAAGTGGACTGGAAATACTTCTGGTCCACTTCTGGGTCTGCTGAGGAGCACACTGGGGGGTCCACCCACGCTCCCCTGGCTTGGTGGTCATCCATGGGGGACCCTGGGTGCCACCTCCAGACCCAGGAGGCACCAGTCACCAAGATGGGGAGGCATGGGCCCCCTCCCACACTCCCCGGCGGACTTTGAAGTGCTTCTGGTCTAATTCCGCGTCTGCTGTCAAACGTGCTGTGGAGCCCCCCGTGCTTCTGTGGGACTCTCCATGCACCTCAGCATCACAGTATTCATGAGGCACCTACTACCTAGAAGTATATAGAAAAAACATTGAAAGTTCTCTCTATGTCCAAATCTCTGAATCTCTCCAAGTTGATTGGGAGGGTTCCAATTTGATTTGGAGAGATTAAAGGGTCCTGTGATTTGATTCGGATTTGGATATTTGGCCACCAAATTGGGCCAAATCTACAGCAAATCTAATCAGGGACTGAAGCTTTGCACAGCCCTACTAAATAAGTCCAGTTCCCCTGGTCTTTCCTCATCAGTCATGTCCCTCAACCCCCTCACCATTTTTGTTGCCCTCTGCTGGATTCTCTCAAATTTGTCCATGTCCTTTTTGTTGTGGGGGGTGCCCAAAACTGAACACAGTACCCTGGATGTGGCCTTCAAAGTGCTGAATAGAGACGAATTATTACTTCCCTTGACCTGCTCGCAACACACCTACTAATGCAACCCAGTATGCTGTTAGCCTTCTTGGCAACAAGGGCACACTGGTGGCTCATATTCAGCTTCTTGTCCACTGTAACCTGAGGGCCTTTTTCTGCAGAACTGTTGCCCACCCAGTCAGCCCCTGGCCTGTACCAGTGCATGGGATTGTTCCATCCTAAGTGCAGGACTTTGCACTTGTCCTTGTTGAACCTCATGAGATTTCTTTTGCCCCAATCCTCCAACTTGTCTAAGTCACTTTGAATCCTAGCCCTACCCTCCAGCTTATGTGCTACTCCCCCCAGGTTGGTGTCAACTGCAAGCATACTGAGGGTATGGCACTCTATGCCATCTTCCAGGTCATTGATGAAGTCATCGAACAAAACTGTCCTGAGGACTGACCCCAGGGGGGGACTCCATTTGATACCAGCTGCCAACTAGACAATGAGCCATTGATTGCTACTCTATGAGCCTGATGTTCCAGCCAATTTCCTATCCACCTTACAGTCCATTCATCCAGCCCGTACTTCCTTAGCTTGTCTGTGAGAATGTTGTGGGAGACTGTATCAAAAGCCTTGCTAAAATCAAGGTATACCACATTCACTGGTCTCCCTGCATCCACAGAGCCAGTCATCTTGTCATAGAAGGCAATCGGGTTGATCAGGCATGACTTGCCCTTGGTGAATCCATGCTGACTCTCCCTAATCACCTTCTTTTCCTCCAAGTGCTTAGAAATGGATTCCTTGAGGATCTGCTACATGATTTTTCCAGGGACTGAGGTGAGGCTGACTGGTCTGTAGTTCCCTGGATCCTCCTTTTTCTCTTTCTTAAATATGGGCACTATGTTTGCCCTTTTTTAATCATCTGGCACCTTTCCTGATTGCTGTGTTTTTTCTATGGCTCTACAACCGTATCAGCCAACTCCCTCAGCAACCTTGGGTGCATCCCATCTGGCCCCATTGACTTGTATATATTCAGCTTTTCTAAGCAGTCCCTAACCTGTTCCTTCACCACTGAGGGCTACTCACCTCCCCTCCAAACTGTGTTGCCCAGTGCAGTAGTCTGGGAGTTGCCTTTGCCTCTGAAGACAGAGGCAAGAAAGGCATTGAGTACTTCAGACTTTTCTGCATCCTTTGTCACAAGGTTGCCCCCTTCATTCAGTAAGGGACCCACATTTTCCCTGATCCTTCTCTTGCTACCGACATACTGGTAGAAACCCTTCTTTTTACCCTTGACATCCCTTGCTAGCTGCAGCTCCATTTGTGCTTTGGCCCTGCTGACTTCATCCCTGCATAACCAAGAAATGCTCTTACATTTTTCCCAAGTTTCAACTTCTTATAAGATGCCTTTTTGTAATTTAGTTTACTAAAGAGTTCCCTGCTAAGCCAAGCTGGTCTTCTGCCATACTTGCTAATCTTCCTGCATATCAGTATGGTTTGTTTCTGCACTCTCAGTAAGGCTGCCTTAAAGTACAGCCAGCTGTCCTGGCTTTACTCTGCTGCTCTCCATCCTTCCTTTCCTCAGAATCCTGAACTCAGTCATCTCGTGGTCACTGCTGCCCAAGTTGCCATCCACTTTATTCGCCACCAATTCTTCCCTGTTTGTGAACAGCTAGTCGAAAAGAACATGGGCCCTAGTTGGCCAGTCCAGCACTTGCACCAGGAAGTTGTTCCCTATACTCTCCAAAAAACTTCCTGGATTGCATGTGCACTGCTGTGTTGCCCTCCAGCAGATGTCAGGGTGATTGCAGTCCCCCATGAGAACCAGGGCCTGTGATTGGAAAACTTCTGCTAGCTATTTGAAGAAAGCCTCATCTACCACTTTCTTCTGGTCTGGTGGTCTATAGCAGACCCCCACCATGCCATGACCCTTATTTCTCTCCCCTCTAACCTTAAGCCAGAGACTCTCAACAGGCTGATCTCCAGTTCCATACTGGAGCTCTGAGCAATCATATTGTAGATGCCTAAGTCTTTGCAGTGGATATGTACCATTTAAATCCTGAAGGTCCTAAGTTATTGTTGTCCTAGCTTATGCATGCCCTACCTGCTATAGAGAAAGGCAGACAATCCCACGGGCAGTGTCAACCTGACTATAAGGTAAAATTGCTGCTTGATTCCATATATCAATGGAATGGGAATCAAGGGAATGTGTTTGACTCTGAGTGGAGAATCAAGACTGTCTATCCTCTGGGCTGGTTAAGTCAGTTCCTGCCAGTTCCTTCAGTATCTTGGGATGAAGTTCATCAGGTCCTACTGATTGGAATTCATTCAAATCAATCAAAAACTCTCTAACGGTTTCTTTTTTAAACATCTGCATTTCTCCTTCCTCCTCTACATAATTTTTATTAGCTGCCTGATTGCAGGGTTTTTTTTTTTAAGACTGAGTCAAAGTTGCTGTTAGGCAACTCTGCCTTATTTATTTCTTACATTAAGAGCTTACCTGGGCTATCTAGCACTAGACCGACAGCTTTCTTAGTCTTTCTTATCTGACCAACTTATTTATTCTTTTGGCCTTGATTCCCTTTGCCAAGTGTAAAACATTTTCTTACCTTTGCCTCCATGATTTTCTTCCTGAAAGTTCTTGTTATTTCTTGGTATGTTTCCTCAGTGACATCCTCATCCTTCCATTTTCTGGATGTTTTAATTGTGATTTTGAGGCATCCAAGAAGCTCCTTGTACTGACAGATTGATTTTCTGCTGTCCTTTTTGTGCTTCCATTGTGTCAGAATAGCTTCTTGTTGAGCACAGAATGTGGTATGCTACTGTTATGTATTGTGGCCAGACCAAGAACAGATTCATAGATTCATAAATATAGGGTCAGAAGGGACCTAAGTAGATCTTCAAGTCCGGCCCTCTTCCCTGGGCAGGAGAGAATACTGGGCTCATATGACCCCAGCTAGGTAAGTATTCACCCTCCTCT